TTATATACAGGTCACTTTATATGTAAATTGTATTGGAACTGCCAAAAGGTGGTCACATTAGACAGGTGCTCTTTATATACAGGTCAGTTTACATGTAAATTGTATTGGAACTGCCAAAATTGGTCACTATAAGCAGGTGTCTTTATGTACAGTCATTTTACATGTAAATTGTATTGGGACTGCCAAAAGGTGGTCGCATTAGACAGGTGGTCTTTACATACAGGTCAGTTTACATGTAAATTGTATTGGGTGTGCCCAAAGTTGGCCACTATAAGCAGGTGGTCTTTATATACAGGTCATTTTACAAGTAAATTGTATTGGAACTGCCAAAATGTGGTCAATATAGGCAGGTGGTCTCTATATATAGGTCAGTTTACATGTAAATAGCTTTGTGACTGTCCAAAGGTGGTCAATATAGATAGTAGGTCTTTATATACAGGTCACTTTACATATAAATTGTATCGGGACTGCCCAAAGATGGCCACTATAAGCAGGTGGTCTTTATATACATGTCACTTTATATGTAAATTGTATTGGGACTGCCAAAAGGTGGTCACATTAGGCAGGTGGTCTTTATATACAGGTCACTTTACATGTAAATTGTATTGGAACTGCCCAAAGTTGGTCACTATAAGCAAGTGGTCTTTATATACAGGTCATTTTACAAGTAAATTGTATTGGAACTGCCCAAAGGTGGTCACTATAAGCAGGTGGGTTTTATATACAGGTCAGTTTACATCAGTCACTATTAGCAGGTGGTCATTATATACAGTTCACTTTACATGTAAATTGTATTGAGACTGCCCAAAGGTGGTCACTATAGGCAGGTGGTCTTTATATACAGGTCAGTTTACATCAGTCACTATTAGCAGGTGGTCTTTATATACAGGTCAGTTTACATCAGTCACTATTAACAGGTGGATTGTATTTAGTAGTTGTTACTAATACAGGTTTGACCATACAAATAATAAGCTTTACTAACCAGAAAGAATGAACATAATGTGACGTGTGGAAATATATTATGTGCACCATTTCTACCACACTGTGCCAGTGTTTTTTCCCAGAAGTCCTGGAGCTGGAGTCCAAGTTGTCCTGATGGGCAAGCATAAAGCACATAATCTCTTGGCAAGTGTTGGTCTAATAAAGGGTCATGCACATGTGAAAGTAACCTGTCAATAGAAATCATTCTGGTTAGTATAGTTACCATCATTTTACATTTTTGAAAGGCAAGTTTAGCATTTTTGAAGTAAAATATTGAAAATGTTGAAGTTTCAAAAATGCCTATTGTATCTAAAATGCCATTATGCAAGCCATTTCAGTTCAAATTAAGTCTCAGAAATGCAAAAGATTTTCAATCTATAATCTATATTAATATACTATACTATACACCGATCTATACTCCTGCTGTACTGTTTTTGTGCATACTTTACGGCATCCTCGTAATAACCTCATATTATTATTAGTACCATATTTGCTCTATTAGACGAGCATCTCTAATAGAAGCATACACAAACCATTAAATTTATTATATATTGGATAATTAAACTGTGTATCATTTCTACCGTAAACATATTTCATATACATGTGCTTCTAATAGAGCAAATAAAATACATGCTAACTACAGAAAATTACAAAATGAAATTGTAATTACGCCCAAAGATTGGAATATTTGAATCAAAATTATCAATGCCTGACAAAAGCTTTTAAGGCTGAACGATGTAATTTTGTTATCAAAGATGTTTATATTTCCATGTAGATTCAAATAAGTATGTATGTGGATGAGTTGTAACATGATTTTTGGCCCCATGTGTTCCGATTCACTTGTTTTGAGTGCTCCAGTCAATGGAGTGCGCCCTCATTTCTAATGTGTTCGTAATTGGCTAATTATGAATGAAACAGCTCGGCTAATCACCTAATCAGATAGTGAAATTGACATCACTAAACATCATTCTAGTAAGTCACTAGGATGTTGGGAATTCTCATTTTTAGCATTTATTTCTTGCAATCTATGTGTATTTTTCTGGGGGGGGGGGGTAATTCTAGTGTGTGAACTACAACATTTAATCCCCTTCTGTGGCCACTTTTGATTAGTTAACGTTTGGACACTAAAGATTCATATTATGTGATATAAAAACTAATTCAGGTGCCCAAAAGTTTTTTTCAGAATTTAAAAAAAAAAATCAATAGAAAATTTTAGCAAAGTTTAAGAAATTCCTGTCCCAAAAACTTGTTGGCAACACCTAACCTTGCCCAGTCGGCAAAAATAAATTCCAGGAACAAAAAAAAATATTTTCCCAAATTTGATTACATATTCACTATTAGGAAAAAGCCCAAGGACATTCTTGACTATCCAGAATAAATATGATAGTTAAATCTTAACCATAGTATCTTTGCTATTTTGTTTTTAAGTACTTCCTCAAAATGAAGTACTCATATGACCTACATGTGAATTCTATTCTGATAAAATTAGGCGGGCTTCAACTCATTTTGAAGTTCAAATGAATCAGACTGCTCCCTCAAGTGTGCAAGCTCATTGCTATGCATTATCACAGTTACCATGCTGAATTGGTTAGAATGAAGTCATGTGACCATGGATTATTATATAATATTGATTCACATTAAAGTGGGTCATTTATATATTTGCCGTCACTATTCCATTCTAATTTACTTATTATCAGTGACATATAAGTTAATTATTAAAGCAACTACTTCAATTGGAATTAAAAACAGGATAATTCAGACAAATTGTATACTTACTAAGTAAGTAATATATTATT